GCATGGACAAGATTGACATAAATGAATTGTCATACTAGATTGTTGTAATACTTTTACTAAGTAGACGATCGCAATAAAGTGGCTAAGGACTGTTTTAACGACTATAAAGAAATACATTTATATCTAAAAGCTTTGTCAAATTTTATCTTTAATGTCCACCAGTTAATAAAACAGAAAAGATCGAAAGTATGTTTCTAATGAATTTAAATCGTCTCATAACAACATGAAGTATTGATCACAAGGTTCGTAGCACAATTATTTAATCAACGTATAGAATCAGTATACAGTCATAGTAAATTTGCTGACGTATGAAGCACTGAAAATGTGTGGAGTGTACTAAACGAAAAAGTTAACGAAAAAGTGTTTGATACATCATCACAATTAGAAAAAGAAAATCCACAAGAATGGAGGAAATTTTCGAAAGAAAAATATACGGAAATCATAGACGAAACAGCTTATCAATTAAAATTGGTCATAGAAAGCATTAGAGAGCATGTTCATCCATGTTGAGTTTTATTATAATTTAGATTTTTGAAAAAACTCGTCTTGTAAAGTTTCTTTTCATTAGATGCTTATGAAATCACTGGTCAAGAAATAAAGATATCACAAAAATCAAATACGAAAATACATTTATTCTAATATTGTTCATGTATTTCAGCACTAGTTTTAGCCGGAGAGCTGAAACTTGAGTAAACAAAGATCGTAGGTAGATTTGTATTTAATAAAGATTTCAGCCTTATGTACCAAGAAAAAAGTCGAAAAATATATTTGACAATTTAATCTCAGGTATTATGGGACATCTTTTATATTAGCCTATGCACTAGATTGAGGTTAGACATCATAAAACTATTTATATTGATTACATTTAATTATATTCTTAAGTAGTCAAATAATGTGTCAATAGGTTATCAGTACATATAAAAAAAGAGCTATTACACATTTATAAGGTTCCTACAGTACTATAAATAACCTTTTTGACTACTTTCATTCAAAATAAATGTGTAATTCTTTTTAATTACCATAAATAGCAGTTTATTATACAAGTGACTTTTTTTCACGGATAATTACTAAAAATAGTATTTAATTACAACAACAAAAATCATATATAGGTCGACTTTTTTCTTTTTTAAGAGTATCACGTTTACAATTTTCCTTAATTTGTACTTCAACAACGGTAATACTTGACTTTCTAGAATATAAAACAAGATTTATCCCAAAATATTTATTTTATATTCTTCCTTTTCAATAAAGCGTGCAGTAATTTATAATTGTGCTAAATAGTCTTATTAGTAGAATTGGAACTCAAATTACTCATGACATACATATTGTATGTTAAATTGATAAATCATTGTCGTTATAATTTCTCAATAAAAATATCTTATATAATTTGTTTTCTAAATCAGATAATAAACTAATTATTAGTTTTGCTGTATCCTAATAAAATCTGAATATATTATTGGTTAAAAGCTGGCATCCAATCATAAATAAAATGAGAAAGGAAGAAGTAAAAAATACCATAAATAATAAATAAGTAAAAACGGATCATTGAATTTATGATTATCTTTATGTCTTATATTAAAATACTTTTATTTATTTTATTCAGATGTTTTAGTTTTATTTATTACAAAAAATGGTTGATTCATCACAAATAGATACATTTGATAGTTGGCTTTTTGATAGCAATGAAACAGTTGATGGTAATACAAATCAATCATCATCATCATTCCTTTCTTCATCTCCAATTTTGTCACCAAATGAATCTTCTTTACCAATAACAGAAACCTCTTCATTATCAAATAATGAAGAGGATAATAAAATAAAAAAACGTAAGAATGAACAAAAAACTGACTTGAATGAAAATAAAAAATCTAAACAAGCACCATCATATATGAGAAGAAATATTCGTCATCTATTAACAAATGAGCAATTACAAGTTGATACATTATCAGCACTCAAAGCTGAACAAGATCGTCTTAAAAGATTGGAAGAAATTAATATACATTATCAACAGTTTAACCCTATGTATACTCATATATCAACGAATAATTTTAACCAAGTGAAAAAAACAATAAATGACCAAGAATATATTGTTTTGGATGATGATGAAAATGAACGAACAAACTTATCAACGTTACATATTAATTCAGGTACATTTAAACATAGGCTCGTATTGACTAATTGCAGTAGATATTTATTGTAAATTGTCAAAATATATGGATATTCAGATTGATACACTTCTTAAACTCTATTCTGTTACTTATCATAGGCTGTGATTGACAGAAATGCCTGCTATACTATACTGAATAAAGAAAACGTCTAACTTTCTTCGTGTGTAATTCAACTTCTATAAGCAATCGTGTTTCATAAGAGTACTTGTCAATTATGTTCTAAATTTTTAATGGATATTCCAAACTTTCAAAAATTATGAAACGAAACCTTGGAATTGATTTCTAACAAAACTAAAGGATTAGTTGATTTTTAGACAACAATATTTAGCTATGTCAACATAGATCGAATTCGCATTACGGTCGATAATCTGTTAGCTAAGAATATTGCCTTCTTTTCGTTTATTACTTTAAGTACTTATTGGAACCTTTTTTTTTATACCACTTCTAAAAAAGACAGAACTTTGAAATGGTATGTATCTCTACTTAAAATTTCATGGCGTATAAGTTTTGAGATTATAGACAAATGATATATAAAAGATACTAAATGAAATGTTGCATTGACTGTTAACGCCATTTTATATGTAAAAAATTCTCAAATCGTTATATCACTTCGCTTGAGACACGAAAGTTGAAACATCTTGTATATAAGTCTCTTTAGGAATGAAAAGTCGGTAGATTATTCTAATAAAGTTATTGAGGTCATAATAACTCTTTTATACTAAATAATTTTAACACTTTTAGTCGTACTAAAATATTCTTAAATTTCGAATAATTTAGTTAATCTGTCTTAGAACTTATTATTTTGTTTTAATAAAAATCTAAAAAAAACTATCAAAACTTTAAATATATTTATATATAGATACAAGTACAACAAGAGTCAATAATGATCCTGATGATGACAGCGATTCTGATGTTCAATCTATTGATGGTGATACTGATTTTGTGAATGATAAATTAAGTAAAAGGCTACAACGTTTACATGTTGATGATCGTGTTAATGTTCCAGATGATAATGGTAATAAATATTTATAACAAATAACTAACTATTCTTTTAATATTTAGGTAATATATTAATTAATATAAATCATCCGAGTGATGATCATGATTTATATTTATCAAAGCATCTTTGTTCAATTCTTAAACCTCATCAAACTGGTGGTATACGTTTTATGTATGATAATATCGTTGAATCTCTTCAACGTTTTCAAACAACACCTGGTCTTGGTTGTATTCTTGCACATTCAATGGGTTGTGGAAAAACTTTACAAGTAAAACAAAAGCAAAACACACATAAATTTTATTCTGATCATTTGACAATTGTTGTCTTTTCTTTTCTTAGGTAATTACATTTATTGATATTTTATTACGTTATACAACAGCAAAATTAGTTCTTATTGTTGTGCCAATAAATACAATACAAAATTGGGCTAGTGAATTTAATCGTTGGTGTCCATTAGATGATCCTAATATTGGATATAAACGTCCGTTTCAATTGTATGTATTAAATGAAATGTCAAAAAAATTTGATCAACGTGCTAAAATTGTTCAAAATTGGTCACAAACCGGTGGAACTCTTATTATTGGTTACGAAATGTTTCGTTTAATGGTAACAAAAAAATATTCACAAACAGGAACATCAATAAAGAATAATAATTCTAATAAACAAGTAAATATATCTAGTCCATCGGCATCGCTTGCTGCGGATGTTGAAGAAAATGAAAAATTTTTTGAAACAATGGATGGTAAAAGAATTTATTAATATATATGAAAATAATGATTTACATTTTTGTCATAGATGTAAGAAATACATTGATTAGTCCTGATCTTGTGATTTGTGATGAAGGTCATAGAATCAAAAATCATCTAGCTAGTGTTGCTATGGCATTAAAATCAATAAAAACAAAGTATGTAGATTTTGAAAATTAGTATATTAATTGATTTTTGAGACTTTGTAATATTATAGACGACGAATTGTTCTCACTGGTTATCCACTACAAAACAATCTCATTGGTAAGTTTGATGAGAAAGTAAAGTATTTTTAATACTCTTCAGACATATATCAGTTGGAATTTATTCCACATTCATAGAAATAACTCGTTCATATATTAAACATTTTGAATACAGAAACTCTCACCATACAACAATATGATTGATTGTTTGTATTTAGAATATTGGTGTATGGTTGATTTTGTTCGACCTAATTATCTTGGTAGTAAACAAGAATTTTGTAATATGTTTGAACGTCCTATTCTAAACGGTCAATGTGTTGATTCAA